TCTTGGTGACTGGTGAAAATAAGATCAATTAGGGTACTTGTTGAGGGTGTGACTCGAGTAGGCTCGTCGATTAATTGTTTTAAGCCATAAATATCGGTAACATTTAACAGAGCCCTTGCATAAATGTTTTCGCTGGACAGCAAATCGCAATTCATATCACCCATAAGATAATGTTCAACATTCTCGGAATCAAGTCTTGCTAACAAGGAGTCAATATTCGAGAAAAGGTCTATAAGTGAATTTGGCGGTCGGTACCACGAGGTAACAACAAAAGATTTTGAGTTAGGTTTTAAAATTTCAATCGATAAGATTTCTAAAAGTTCGTTATCTAAATCCTCGCGGACTACGTAATTTATATTCGAACGAATATAGAAGCATACACCCCCACCAAATCTCCCATTAACGGTCCTGTCACGACGGATGACATCATAACCCACAATTTTAACATCCTGATCAGATATACTCCCGTCGAGTCTCGTCTCATTAATAGCTAGTATATCAACGGGTTGACCATCTAATACGATACGAAGTTCATCTATATGTTTCAATAGACTTTCAATAAACGTTTGTTTTTGCCGCCACGAACTATGAACTGTGCGAAGACAGTGACGACGGCGCGAAGATGTAACACCCGGGTTAACTTGATGTATGGCAGAGCGGCGGCGATCACTCCATTCCACGTGCAAGTTTCGCGTTCGCATTTGACATTGCATTATTTTTGCTTAATCTGCCTAACTTTTAATTCAAAACACGATGCAGTAGTAGCCTGTTCCGGGGGTCGGACAGTATAGATTGTTTTCACATGACGTCACGGCGGCCATATTTGTGTACAAAACAATGAATCGGCGGCCATGTTTGTGTACAAAAAAAATCCTGTGGGAAGTGAATTCTTTTCACATGTTAAAACTTTCTTTTATTCCAAGCATTTTGCAAAGCTGCTGACCACGTGACTTAAAACGATCTATCGGAAGCGGCGCGAAAGTAAACCCCTGTCCTTATCTATTTTTCCTTGCTACGCCGCTCCCTAATGCATCGGTGACCGGTCGTTTCGCCAACGAGCCATTTCGCCTATTGTCCTTTTCGCTCACGTCTAAAGTCGTTTCGCTTACGTTTTAGGTCGCTTCGCAACCAAACCAACAGAATCCCATTGCCGAAACGTTTTAAAAATACCACAATTTCACTCTTTATACTACTACATGAGAAATTTCTGCAATTTGATTGGCTTAGAGCAGCTGTATTTCAGCTTAATTTGAAATACCTACATGTGAAAATTACAAACCTTTTGCTTGTAGTAGTATAAACAAATAATAGCATGATTTGTATGTGATATTTGGCATAAATACCACTCGCTATATTTCAAAATTGTCTCAAATTTCACTCGCCCATCGGCTTGTGAAATTACGTATAACAATTTTGAAATATCACTTGTGGTATTTATGCCAAATATCACTACAAATCATGCTATTACCTATACCAATAATATTTTTATTATTTTGTGAGGTAGTACTACCGGGCCGATCTAGATGTTTAGAGTTCCCATTATATGCCTGCTTTAGTGCTTGTAGTGTATAGTTTTTGACCTACGTCGAAGCGAGACTTAGACAAACTAAGTTTTTGAAATTGAGTGAGCGAGTTAGACCGCAGAATAAAATCATGAAAAAAGTTCAAACCTGAGGTTGACATTTCCACCGTTCAGATTTTTACCAATTTTCCAGTTATACCCTTAGCTTACCGTGTCTCTGGTTTACTTAATGTTCGTTCATTTTTGCGTTTTTATTGGCCGTTCGACAGTGATTCCAGCGCGTTTGTAGTTCAACTAGTAGTGAGCTTTAAAGACTCAAAACACCCGACAACCCGACGACTGTTGTCGGGTGTTTTTAGTCTTTAAAGCTCACTTCAGTGACAAAAAGGTGGGGAGGAGGGTGAGGACAAAGCCCATTCCCCCTCCACTCGCCACCGACATCCGCTCACTTCTATCAATGTATGACTGTTTTCTCTAATTGTAGGATCATTTAGGGGGAAACATCTCCGTGACCTCTTTTTTGTTGTTTTAATCTAAAAATTCTTATTACACGGCTACATAGGGAGCCTGGCGATATAAAAAATATGCTTAGCTGTAGTAAAAAAAAAAAAATAACAATATGGCCTCGTGGCCAAAATTTTAATAGCAAAATGGCAATTCCTTCTTCCGTTGATCTTTCGGACCGGCGTTCGGACAGTTTTCGCCTTTGCAGCTGAGGCGATTTGAAGCTAAGCGCCAACATTTGATTTTCCATATATGGACAACATTGCCAAATCTGGACTTATTCATATTTTCTTGATTTTGACGTCACATCTTCACCTTGCGCGGCATCCATATTGGATTTGATTTGGAATCTTCTATGTGAGGTTGCAATCCAGGGCCATCTTGGCCTTAAAAATTAGTTTGATACCGTGAAAGTGAAAAAAGTTATTTTTAGGATATCTATGTGTTGCGTTTTGGGTGTATTTTGCCGTTAATGCGATGGCAAGTAAGTAACCTGCCCGTTTAAAAAGACAAGATGTTGTATCGCTCATGAAGTATCGTAGTACTTACGGCGATTTTGATCGTGATATTTTCTGTCCGCAGAAGATGGAGGAGAAGTACAGTGGTGCTTTTCCCAAGTTAAAGGGACGCTCGACGAGGAGCTTACAGAAGGTATTAATTCGCTTAAAACTTAAGTTGTCAATCGAAGGTTTTCTTGCTCTGAAAGTACAAATGTCTTCAAATTTGTACATTTCTTAAAACTGCACCTGACTTTTTCGCCAAAGGCCGTTATGCTTAGTAACATTTTACTATCTTTCAGCGGATATTGTCTCCACTGTTGAATTTAACCACGATGGCGAACTGCTTGCTACCGGTGACAAGGGCGGACGGATCGTGATCTTTCAAAAAGAGGACGCGGTGAGTTTCAAATATCAACCGTTGAAATACTCGATTTTTCGAGGTGCTTATGTGTTCTTGTTAATGTTTTCCGATTTTAGCCGAAGGGATCTCCTCATTATGGCGAATACAACGTCTACAGTACTTTCCAAAGTCACGAACCTGAGTTTGATTATTTGAAGAGTTTAGAGATCGAGGAGAAAATAAATAAAATCAAGTGGTTGAAACGTCGAAATGCATCGCACTTTTTGCTGTCTACTAACGGTGAGTCGGTCAATGTCAGATCTTTATCAACAAGTAAATCACAAAACCTTGTTAAAAAGGTTTCTGTAATAATGTTTGAATTTTAGTATTGCCTTTATTCCGAAGGCTATCTTATCTAAGCTTTTTCCTCAAACTGGTACCAATATTACTAGTTCGACTGGCCAAGTTTGCTTCTGTTCCCGAGAAAAAAAATACTAACACTCTCTTGTAGTGTCTGTATTTATTTTCTCTTGTCTTAAAGGGGATATAATTTTCTGGTTCAATAGCAGACTGTTGTATTTGTCTTTGTGTTTGGATACCACACTGTGGTCTTTGTCTTTTGTTTGGTTGTCAACTTACATGTGAATGCTTCAGTTAGCTTCACTAACCCAGAAACTTCATGGCATAAATTGAATGATGCACATTCATCATCAGTAAATCAATAAATGGCTTCATTTTCTGTGTGAAACAGGAAATTCAAGTGATTTAACATAGGAATTATGGTTGGTTCTTATGTTTGAGTGATGTGCTGTCACATATGATAATGCATAATATTGTAGACTTAATTAAACTACAAAATAGATCAGCTGAAATGAAAGAAAAATATATGACAGCCGGTATAAACCTGTGTGCAATAAACATGATATATCAAGTTTAAAATGGTATGCAAATACAAGATGAGAACAAATCGAAGAACATTATGTATGGTGGAAAACTTTACAATGATACAGTGCCACATGAGAGAAAAGGTCGACACATAGGCTTAAGATAATCATAATTCATGTGTACATTGTTTTGTATTCATAAACAAAGTCAAACACAAAAGCGACAACTTACAGCAGTCAGGGAAAAAAAACTATTGAAAAATAAATACTACATTATTTTTTATGCTGGTGTCCTATCTCTGTTTGATGAGAACTGAAATGTCTTCAACTAAAAGTTTTTAATTAATTCATAACTCTTAAATGACAGTACTTTTAGTCACTGGTATGTAACTCGGAGAATCATACCATTTTTTTTATAACTGACAAAGTTTGCAGGCTTCTGACACATTTGTGGCAACATCAAAACTTCATTACTATAGTCAATGTTGTCTCGTGACTTTGAGATTGTCCTAACACAAAGTAAGTTTTACTCAAGGTAGATTTGTATTCCTCCTTACCGTAAAATGATTTACAATAAAATGTTTCTTCGGACATAATGTCTGAACACTCAGTTTGAACACAGTTAGCAAATTTTAGTTGGCCACTGTTTGATGCCAGACTGTTATTTGCAGCCCTGTAAGTGGGTAATAGTCTTACTTATTCTTCAAACAAGTAAATCTCCAGAAAATAATTTAAAACAAGGTGTACAGTCAGGTCAGTTTTTGCAGCACCTATTACGATTAATCTGCCATTTTATTTCAATATGCTCAATGGAGGCTGGAACTGTTGGGGGGTATAAGCTTTTGCATTTATTAACAGACCTTCTGTTTACTTTACATTTGCGATTGTTTTATTGACACCATTCATGTATGTGCTAAATGAGTTCCAACATAAATGAAAAGGTTTTGTGTCATATACATAATCTTCCACCATTTAAAGCTTTGATTTAACTCTACATCAAAATACAACTAGACTCGAGATTTGGACAAGTAAAACCAGAACCTCAGTTGTCCATTAGAATGTGGAAATAATCTTTTTTTTCTATCCCTCCGCTCCAAGAAATACTGAAATACTAACAGTTATAGGGTCATTTCTTGTGGGAATTAACAGTGTTGTTTTTATCAAATGAAAGCTACTTTTCTCAACATCAATTTCCTTTTGCAGATAAGACAGTTAAACTGTGGAAGATTTCTGAACGTTGCTATGCCCCTTGTAACTTTAATCTTCGAGATGACCAGGGAGTTCCAAGAAGCCCAGAAGATGTAACAACATTACGTGTGCCGATATTTAAACCTTCTGATCTGGTTGTGGAAGCTAGTCCGAGGAGAGTGTTTGCCAATGCTCATACATACCACATTAACTCTATATCTCTAAATAGTGATGATGAAACATATTTATCTGCTGATGATCTGAGAATAAACTTATGGCATCTTGGAATCAATGATCAGAGTTATAGTATCCTTTTTCTGTTATCAGATTAAATGACTGTAGATAAGCTAATAATCAGCGTGTCCAATAGCCGGGGACTACTAGATTTTGTAGTTGGGCAAGTGAATTTTGTTCCTAACATGCCCAACTAGCAAGTAAAGTTTGCTGGGGGAATTCAAATAACGGAAATACTGTACCGCGAACTTGACATTGCTGTCCGTGCACTTGACATTGCTCTTGGAAATCATGCATTGCGCGC